AGTTTAGTTTCTTTCTTTTTTCCTAAGTAATTATCATTATTTTTATGAAAAAAAAGTTTTCAGGCTGAAGCACCCCCCCAAAAAAAAATTAGTCCTAGATCCGCTAGTGTGGGAAGGAACAACAATAATAATTACAACAGGGGCGAGAATATCGCTTCGCCCCCTCTCCTAATATTCCGAAGAACAACAATAAAATCAAAATCAATAACTATTAATCTACACCAATGAATAAAACCTGTAATCTAAAATGAATTAAGAAAACAGAAAAATTCTTTTTCACGCCTATTTTCACTACTCTCTCTGTTCTCATTATTGAAATTTTCGTTTATATTCGGTGATAATTACATGTAGCGATTCATAGAATTTTATGATTCATTCATGTGCACCCTATTTTGCACCCTAACTTAGGACTATACTGCCATACACGTACTATCTTATCCGTCAATCTTTTCTCTTCAACAGATTTTTTTCAGTTCGGCAGGGCTCGCAAATATCTTCAGCTCGTCCAATCTTGGCAGGAGTTCCCCAAGATTCAATACTAGCCCCTCTACTTTACGTTATATACACTTACGATATACCTATCAACGATTAGATCTTGACAGCTACTTATGCAGATGACACAGCGATTCTCACAAAACATCAAGACCCTACGCAGGCCTTACTAACACTTCAACATCACTTACTTAAATTACAAGATTGGTTCACACTATGGAAAATTCGACTTAATCATGACAAATCCAAACATGCAACATTTAGTCTTCGAAAAAACACCTGCCCTCCAGTTAATCATAACGCAATAATAAAGTGCATAATGCACCTTGGTAAGTGACTAACAAAACTCTACATACTAACCTCCACTTTCCAACAGTTGATCAACATATAACAACCCTTTATCAACGATTTTACACAAATTTAAATAGACATAATAACAGACTTATTAGAGACATGGCCACAGCTGATATACCTCAGAACATGAGTAGGAGACTAAAAAGGCATTGGATGAGGGATCTCCTTCCTTAGACAACCTATGTAATTGGAACAAGTTAGGGAAGAGGTACTGCTGATTACTTTCCTTCCCCATGAATGTCATGTCATTATATCATGTATCGCCATCACATTCGTGATTGTCAACAATAAGTTGACTGGCGCAAATATACATCTTATAGACAAAAAAAAATTACTTCTCAATGAATATAATTATGTGGTCGTGTAAACAGGTTATTTTGGAACGCAAATGTGACCATTTTTATGAACAGAGTTCATTTACTTAATTTTTTCTTTATGTCTAAACAGCAAATGAAATATTGTTGAGAAATGCTCCCGAACATGTTAGGGTTAGTATTGCATCCGACCAATGATAAAGTATCTTTGCTTTAACAAATTTCGAGGTTACTTGCAGGTTTACAGAAGGAAACATCGGTAAGATGTGGAATTAGTGTTTAATACCTCGGAGTAAGGATGCTGCAGTAATACATGCATGGATAGATGCCTATGTTTCCCTTTCAATATTGCCCAATATCGTATTGAAACAAAGGATTCAATCTTAATGAAGAGAAGAATAGTTGGGGTGATCAGTCAAAAAGGAAGGCAAAAAATAAATGATAATATTTATTTTTTACTTTTAATATTTATTTTTAAAAAATAAATATTATCATTTATTTTTTGCCTTCCTTTTTGACTGACCATCCCAACTATTCTTCTCTTCATTATCTACGACAGTCAACCAATTACCAATTATGATTCAATCTTAATATCGAAAGAAAAAAAACAATCGGATTTCGATAGTTTCATTTCAATTTCGATATTTTTGTTTCAATATTATACCACCATAGACATCAAATACCGTTATCGATACAGATAAGGAATATCGGAATTGTTCGATATCGCAACAACCAAAACTTCTAGTAATTGGTGTCCTATATTCCCGGCTTCCAAGTATATAATATATCTGTCATTTTTTTCTCCTCCTATCCGAATAGTCATAGAGCTACAAGGTCTTTTTATTTTGGTCACCTTTCGACAATATAACTAGAAGAAAGGACAGAGGAATGAAATCCTCCTTTTTGTATCCGTGGAACGATTCCTGTGAAGACATTGAAAAGCTGTGAAGAGTGTAAAATGGATAATAACAGGCCTCGCCCTTCTTCGGGTGACAAAGCTCCCGAGATCCGTTTTCCCGATAGCGACAAAGGCGCCTACTCAATGGTCCCCCGCCATCGTTACGCTCCCATCTCAAACTAGGTGACACTACCGCTTCAGCAATATCCAATAACCAGGAAAAAGCATCGTACCTTTCTCCGCTCCCTTAAGGGTCTAGGATTCCGAGCCAGGGTGAAAAACACATATCTCAGGAAAATAATAAACTTCAAAATTCTTATTGGTTAGAAAAAAAAACAATAAAAAAAATTGCAATAAATACAGGGAGTCCCTTAAGTACAAGGAAATATTTAAAAGGAAGATAGTAACTAGTTTTCCATCCGCTTTTTAATTGGATCGTCAGAAAACCAAGAAAAAAGGTGACCTACAAAAATATTGGATCGTTTGGCCTAAATAACCTCTTTATTTTGACGTTTTTGGACTGTACGTCAAGACAAACTGCTCAATATTATTGAATGCTATATTTCTTCTCGATTTTGTGCCCAAATTATCTTGCGATTCAAGTGGAAAGCTAATGGGTATTTACTATTTTTTAGTACCTAATTAAATAGGCAAAGTTTGCTGATCACAAGATTAATAACGCCCCAATTCCGAGAACTTTCGTAAATAAAATAGTAGTAGGTTACGATGAGATGAAGCTATTTACGAAATTTCAGGCGGATATTAATAATTTGATGCAAAGGGGTCTGTACCACGGACTATAGGTATTTTATGAGAAAGTAAAAATTCCAGATGGTACAAAATATTATCCTTTGCAAACACATCACCGCATATGTGGAGCGTCCCACGGATGGCGAATGTGCGGAAGGTCGATGGAAATTCCTTGGAAGTTCCTCCCGGTTAAGTCCGATGGACTCGCTGACTGACAATGAGACGGGCCCTCCACACTTGCTGGAGGGAGGGGACCTCAAGACCTGCTGGAGTCAGGGGCCCACCAGACTTACTGGTTATTATTACTGCCATACACAACCAATAGTCATGGATCTCCCTAAAGTAAAACGCTCATTATCCGGAGGTAAACTAGTCCCCCATTTGGGTTTTTGGGTGGTTCTGCTTTAGGGAATTCATGGCGCAAGCTAAAAAAATCGATTGGTGTTTTTGACATCGAACCTCCGGGTTCGCTAAGCCGTTTATTATTTAACAAGATATTATTCAAAAGAATTAACTACCATATGTTTTTCAGAGCCACCTAATGTATTATATTTATGATTTTTTTAGTCACTAACTATTTCCTTTAATACTCTATACTTTTAATGTTTATTTAGTTATAATTAATGATCAAGTGCCACGAAATATTTTTAGATTCATATAAGTGCCACTGATAAATAAAGCATATTTATTCATATTTCATTGTGGGTATTTTTATTTGTTTAATCATTAGTTTATATACAAATTTTAATTTATATGTTGCTGTAATGTATAATACAGTTAAATATTAAATAATATCAACGCTAGGACTTATGAAAACCGCACATGTATATGCAAATAATGTTAACGGAGGTCATATTTTATTTTATTTTATTAGCACGTGTTACATTTGAAAACTTATAAATTTGGCCTCATAAAATTACCTATCGGCCCCTTGTTCTGCTAAGTTCACTTAATTATCCTTTCTACTTTATCAAATTCTGGCATATTTTATATTTATAAACATTTTTAAATGTGAGATAGTTAACTATTTAAAAGATTAAAGGTACTTTAGAGGGAGAAATTTTGAGAATTAGGAATTTAAACCCTGTTAAAAAACATTAATGAGAATAAGACTTTCAATTATATGTAAAACTGCTTAATTTCACACTGATATTATGAATTTAATCAAAATAATTAAACCAATTTTCAAGAAAAATCTGTAAAATCGATGATACAAAGCGGCACTTCTACTTTACCGATTTTCAGGAAAGAGTTACTGTAACATCCCAGGGATATACTTACCGTAAATATGTAATTTAAGTATTATACAACATTTCGCTATTGAGCTAGGCTGTTTACTCACACACAGACACACACATCAACACCCATACACATACAGACTATTTGGCGAGATTTGGTTCTTTGGACTCAGAGGACTTAAAACGTGTATTTCCGTTGAACACAGATTCGTATATTTTCACGATTCCAATACTTTCCCCTATTACATATTATATGTATAGGTAAGTGAAAGTAAAATTGGATATTTACAGAGACCTGTTAAAATCAACCTGGATACGTAGTAAACAGGGTGTAAGTAGAGAGAAATATTTATGAGAGTGATTGAAGAAAAAAAATCCTCGAGAGATACAAAAAAAAATTGGCCTGATTTTCGGTAGTTTTTGTTTTTTTTAATGGTCATATTTTTTATTGAATATGAAGCGATAACTAAATATTTAATTTAAGTAATTAATAATTGCTTCACAATAAACTAGACAAAATTTAATTTAAATGAAAATAGATTCTCTTTATAAATGTATATGAAAATAGCCAATATACATTATATATCTGTGTAAATAATTTATAAGTTATAAATTCCCCGATTGACCGAAAAAGGAAGGATGCTAGCTGACCTGCGCTAAAACTAGCTGGCGTAATTTAAGTTTCTGAAATTTTTTTTTTTCAAATATCCCTAAAAATATCCTTCTGCCTACAGTGATCTAATTATTTTCGTTATCTTCATCATATGTCTGCATATTTAACCGAATAGCTCATCCAAGAAAATTTAATTAACCACTTACTTCAATTGTTTTTAGTTTTTAGCTCTCCCCCTTTTGCATAATGTAAAATAGCAGAAATATGACTTACTTTCATTGTTTTCATAACCCATTGTTAATTTTGAATTGAATTTAACCTCACCATTCTGTCACAGGCCTTCAAATCTGTACGCACATAGTGTTTGAATTGATTTTACAAAGTTGTCTACTTACCAAAGAGTGTATATCCTCGTTTTGAGAGAAGGTTGACACAGTAGCCCAAGAGAACTGCTTCAGTAGAGCTATTCTCGCAGCATTGTGAGAGGAGTCTGGTGCCACCGTCCTGAAGAAACGTGGGAACTCCTGCTCGTCAGAGAGTGCAGGCGAAGTAGAGCCAAAGGAAACCTAACCAACAGAAAGTTATCTGTAGGTATAAAATCAAATTACAGCAAGAAATGTAAATTGAATCGATAATTTGGATATTTATGGGGTCAATCCATTTTTAATCACCCAGACCATGTTGCTCGACATTTTTGATATTTATAAATTTTTTACCATTTTTTTTTTCATATTTATTTGATAGTTCAAAACCGTAGTTAAAACAAAAAAAATATGGCATACAGTTTTTACTCGGTGTCCATTTTAAAATTTCTTTTCGACTGAAAACATGTTGTAGATATATTTTGTTTATTTTGTAGATATCAAGCCAAAATAAAAACTGAAATAATTTAGTGTATTTTCTACATTTCTGTTGATCATTGCATTACCTAATAAGAAAGGTAAGTGGTTTAAAAAAATCACGAAAATAGACAAAAAAGGTGAGCTGCAAAGGTGTAATAAAGAAAAGAATCTCAACTTTAATTCATTCTTCATGTGTAGTCCTACCACTGTTCTTCTTGCTGATGAAATCTTGAAAACCTTGTCCTTTTTCAAATATGAATTTCCAAAAATGCTCAAAAGTCGTTTTCCGAGATTTTTTATGCTACATATCACAAAAGGGACTAAGTGAAAAATTATGAAATTGATACATTTTATGATGCATAATTAATGCATCACCTAAAAGGAAAGGAAAGTGGTTTAAAAAATGGAGTAAATAGACAAAAAAAAAATGACTTTTAGGACTGCAAAAATGCAATAAAGAAAAAAGTCAACTTTAATTAACTAAGCAACTTTAACTTTTTCTTCATATTTATCTTGAAAACCTTGCCCTTTTTTAAATATGAATTTTCATAAACGCTCAAAAATTGTATTGGCGATTTTCGATGTTTTATATCACAAAAGAGATTGAGTGAAAAATTATTAAATTGATACAGATTAAGCCTCTTAATGTCTTAAGTTCTTTTCATTATTACAGCATTGCTGCGCTAAGTGTTTCTTTTTATGTTAATTTTAATTTTATAGATGTCAATTTTTTAAACAAATTTCCTCACTACTTATGAGATGTATTGTTAGAGTAAAACATCATAATAATTTTAGTTTTGGTTTTGTTTTGATATCTGCAAAAATGCCGCGGTTAGAGTGGGTAGGATACGCTGATACCGACTCACACGATCCACTCATATTTGATGCTCTATAACTAATAGATCCATTTGAGTCTCAATGATCAAATTAGTATCACACATTCCTGTCATTAGATGTTATAAACTTAATCAATATCATGATTTTTCACTTGGTCCTTTTTGTGATATGTAACATCAAATATCGCCGAAAGCGACTTTTGAGCTTTTTGCAAAATTCATATTTAAAAAAAGGAGAAGGTTTTCAAGATTGAAATTTTATCAGCAAGAAGAACAGTGGCAGGACTACATAGGAAGAAGGAATAAAGAAAGAATTAAAGTTGAAATTCTTTTCTGTATTAAATTTTTGCAGCACTATAAATCACTTTTTTTTTGTCTATTTTCATGATTTTTTCAAACCACTTTCCTTTCTTTTCAGGTGATTTATTGATCTACAGAAATGTAGAAAAAATATTCTAAATTACTTCAGTTTTAATTTTGGATTGGTATTTACAAAATAACCAGAGTTATAGGCATTTTCCAAAAACATGTTTTTAGTCGAAAAGAGTAATTAAAAATGGCCGCTGAGAAGAAATTGTGAGCCTCAAAAATTTTTTTGTACGCTAAATTAAATATGGAATAATTGGCAAAATATTGATATAAATCAAAAAATGTCGAGAAATAATGCTTGTTTTGCCCAAAATCGGTCTTGGTCTTGCACAGACTTTTGCATAATAAGGTCAGGACTGATAAAAAAAATCGATTTTTTAAATAAAAATTAAGGCAAAATAATTACTAATACTTGACAATCTTAGTTGCTCTATGTCAATAATTGATATAACCAATATAGTTTTGCATTTAACTCCTCTAATTTTTCATTTGGGCTTAGTAAGGTTTCTCCTATCTAAAAAATACAGTAATATCAGTCTAGAAATAAGCTAATAAGTAACTGCAAGACTGTTGCGTGACTCCTGCGGAAGACCAAGACCATGACCAAGAGTGAGTTTGCAAGATCAAGACTCGTCTCGGTCTCGCATTTGGGCAACACTAGGATTGACCCTATGGAGAGTTACATTAATATCCTCAAGTTAGTATATATCTGTAGTTTTTTAATTGAAAAAAAAATAGAAAATTAAGATGAAGTATTCTTTCATCAATTATATCCTAATAGTCAAATCAGTAGTTATTTTTATTCCATTAAAGACATCAATTTAATTTAATAGAACAAATCTCTGATGTTTTATTTTTTTATTTTTCTAAAGCAATTTATATTGTGCCTCGACCTAGTTTGTTTCATAGAGATTAGGTCTCAAAACATCATGGACATCAATGCCCAATGTTTTTATAATTTACAAATTAGAAAAGAAAGATAAAAAAGTAAACATATAAATTAAAAAACAAAATAGAAAGGTACAATAAAAAACTCCTTTATTGAATTGAAACTTTTCAGAAAATAAATAAAAGATATATTTATTTGAGTTTCTTATTTTTTTTTTAAATTTCAATTGAAAATAATAATAAACTAGTTGGCCAATAATAAGGAAGACAAAACAATAAGGAAACAAAACAAAAAATCAATGTTATGCCATAATAAAAAAATATTTACTTTTTGAGTTATTTGTAAATAAAGTTACATTTCTTTTATCACTTTTTTTTTTTTTAAAATTTCGGGAGGATGTGACTATTTCCCTCTCTGAAGGAGAAGAAGAACTTCAAAATTTGAGCTCATTTCATGAAGGGTTGACGAAGATGGCTTACCAACAAAAGCACCTTAGAAAAATAATATAGTTAAAATCAAACATGGTTGATTTCTTCGCTCTTATCTCTAATAGCAGCGGTTATTAGTCGAGCTGCTCTTATCTCCAGTATGCGGTGTTATATTGAAATGCATGTGTTTGTAATCGTTTCTAGTATCGTCGCTCCACTATGTGATCACCATTAAGTGTTATGGTTACCATAGGATACTTATCAAATGTTTAGGTTTTAAAAATTAAAATATTGCTTTTTATGTTAAATTAAATGTTCTAGTAATAGGCAATCTACTATTAATGGATAGTTTTCAAATCACTAACTAATAATATGCTCTATATTTCCGATTGATAGTTAATTTTTAAAAGGAGCATGACCTTATCACTGCTGTTTCCTTATCACCTTTCTTTACGAGATGAGTTTGAAATTTCGATCCATTCATCTGCAAAAAAATCTTTTGAACCCAAAACCTTATTGGGTTAATATACTTAAATTACTGGTGTGATATACATTGTCTAATTTCCTTATGTTTTCCATGAATAATTAACAAATTGACTGTATCGTAGGAAATAATATCACTAAGTAAGAGAACTATGTTGTGCCCTCAGTGGAAACCTGGATTAATTATATAAATGGCATATTTTTAACTAAGGAAAGGTATTTCCTTTCCGTTTGAGGTCAAAAAACGTTCTCAACGTCCAGGCCTTAAAGATTATCGCTTTGTTTTAGAGTTTTATTTTTATATATTTGGAAAAAGAAAATGATAATTATAAAAAATAAAATGGCGTCGAATGAAAAAGATAATAATGTAGTAATAATGGCTGTATACTGTAATAATGCATAATAATATATATAGATAATAATGTATACAGTAATAATCCATTCAATAGTAAAAGTTCCTCGCAGGAGATTAGAATAATTGTTAATCAGCTCATGGTTTTTATTTATATTGCCCATTCATAATATGAATAAAAACCATGAGATACAAGAGGAACAAGATCTATAAGCAAACGGTGACGTGGCTGAGCTGTAAATATCACCAGTGAATGGTAATTGAAAGTTTGCAACCATATATTACAGAGGAAATGAATATAAACTGGCTCCGGTGAAAGGGCCTTCATCAATTTATCCCAGCCCTGAAATATCTTTTTACTGTATTTATCTAACGCATTTCGACAGCGACGTCCGAGTTTTAAAAATATCGGCAATGAGATTTTAATAATTAAAAATAGTGTTGAATAAATAAAATTATTTGTGTTAAAGACCATGAAAATTGGTATACAATAAAAAAAGTAAGTTTTGAATAGACGCACACGGCAAAGCAAAATATGATAGTAAAAAATAATTAATAATCATAATTATATATTATTCTTTGCAATGAATATTTGAATTAATAAATAATATCATTCGTATAGAAATCTCTGTCTAATATTACATGCAAAATTAGCTTGCATTTTCCAATATTCAAAATAATGCGAATTTTAATGCTACTAGCAAATGTAACATTTTTTTTATCGTTGTGAGCAGCCCGTTAGGGTGTCACAATTAGCTACTTTACTATACCTTCTTTACAAATTTCTGATTATTAAGGGGCTTTGACTAGAGTCATTTTTTGTTCTATCTTACTGTTGTGAATACGTGGTTTTGCACCCGCACGCTACCTAGCGGTAGGTTGCGAAAACAAAGATAACAGTCTGGAGCCTCTGAACTTGACTTGACCCACTCTCGCTACGGCACCACTCCAGAAAAGACGTAGAGACAGGAAAAGGGTCACCTTTAAGAAATTTATGCAAGCAGAAAGGGCGAGTTACTTATTTTTTACGATGTTTATTCCTCACTGATGCCTTAATACAATCTCCTGGCAAATTATTTCGTATGATGTCTCATGTTAAACAGTAATGTTTTTTTACAATTTTAATTCTAAACTTAGTTATTTTCCTAAATACGCACTCTACAATATCCATTTCATCTATTGGAATGGTTGAGAGCGAGATGAGAAACTTGTGAAACATTTTACATACCTTATCTTGCAATCAAGTATCGATTATTGGATCAATATCTTCAGGTACTTCATTGCTTAGGAGTATAGAGTAATATAGATATTGCCGTTTTAACAATGTAAGTAGTACTCAGACGAAGAATAATAAATTGAAGATTTAAGGTGACTTCACCCAAGCATATTAATGCTATATAAAATGTCATATAAAGAACGAGAGTAGTATCTCAGGTATTACTCCGTCTTGGGGGATTTACAAGAGAAAATTTAGTAAGATCAGTGAATAATGAGGTTTTCCCATGAATTTAAGAAACATGTATATATTACAAAAGTGTTAAAGAAGATGTTACAAAAGTATACAAAGCCTTACCTGTACCATATTCCAATAAGGAACCACTTTGGCCAAGGATTCCGTGACGTCAGAGCATGCACTGCCCAACAAAACCATTATCTTTTCCTTCCTGGTGTAAAGCGCATGGAAGAAGGCGTCTAGTCCAACACCCGGGTCACACTAAAAAAAGAAAATGTTATTAATCCACTTGTTAGAATAAAAGTTATTCATTTAAATAGAGATGCAGAATCAATACTCTTTTTTTGCAGAAATGTAAACATATTATTTTAGAAACTCATTCATATTCACTGAAACAATAACGATTGGCTATTGTGTCTTAAAAAAAAACTAAGGTGTGTGCTTTAGACCTGTTGTAAATACAAGGCGGAATAATAATAATATGAAATATAAATTATAAATAATGGCTCATTATAAAGAGCATGAAATGATGAACATTTCCCTAGCTATTTTTTTTCCTTTTCGCCTCCCTAACACGGCGGCGCGTCAAGAAACAATTTTAAATAATATCACATTACAGAGAGTATAAAATGCTGATCAATTACCTTGGTTACAGTATGCAGGCCCGATTATTAGTTTTTGAAAATGTTATTAATCCAGTTGTTTGAATAAACGTTATTCATTTAAATAGAGATGCAGAATCAATACTCTTTTTTTTGCAGAAATGTAAACATATTATTTTAGAAACTCATTCATATTCACTGAAACAATAACGATTGGCTATTGTGTCTTAAAAAAAACTAAGGTGTGAGCTTTAGACCTGTTGTAAATACAAGGCGAGAATAATAATAATATGAAATATAAATTATAAATAATGGTTCATTATAAAGAGCATGAAATGATGAACATTTCCCTCGCTATTTTTTTTCATTTTCGCCTCCCTAACACGGCGGCGCGTCAAGAAACAATTTTAAATAATATCACATTACAGAGAGTATAAAATGCTGATCAATTACCTTGGTTACAGTATGCAGGCCCGATTATTAGTTTTTGAAAATGTTATTAATCCAGTTGTTTGAATAAAAGTTATTCATTTAAATAGAGATGCAGAATCCAATACTCTTTTTTTTGCAGAAATGTAAACATATTATTTTAGAAACTCATTCATATTCACTGAAACAATAACGATTGGCTATTGTGTCTTAAAAAAAACTAAGGTGTGTGCTTTAGACCTGTTGTAAATACAAGGCGAGAATAATAATATGAAATATAAATTATAAATAATGGCTCATTATAAAGAGCATGAAATGATGAACATTTCCCTCGCTATTTTTTTTTCCTTTTCGCCTCCCTAACACGGCGGCGCGTCAAGAAACAATTTTAAATAATATCACATTACAGAAAGTATAAAATGCTGATCAATTACCTTGGTTACAGTATGCAGGCCCGATTATTAGTTTTTGAGGAATTTTAATCCATATGCAAAAACACATATTTCATCGACTCCAGCCGACTTAACCCGAGGATCATCATCGGTGATCTGACAGCTCAATCTGATTCACTCTCCAAAAATAAGTGCGAAACCTGTCTAAAATATTTTCACTTCAAAAAGATATGGTCTAGTTTAGGGCAGTTATATACACGGCTCTCGAATAAATTTGTAACGGCACTTTCTTCAGCTTCAACACCACATCTACCGACGACTATATACGAACTAGCTGAAACATTTTAAAGAAAAGGCGTTACATAGATGTTTCGAATGAACCTAAAATAAAATAATAGTAGGATGCCTGTCTACTTCGATGTTTGTTGTGAAGAGATCTTATTTCCATCGATTTGAGGCTTTGCCAAATTCTCCTCCAAGTCTTTCTGGGGCCCTTCCTTTCCCAGACATTCGTTTTCTATGTTATATCTTTTGGTTCTGTCCTTAAAGGTAACTTCAGTATTCATTGCTATCCCACCATATTCCAATTTTTGTTTTCCACAAGATCTGAAGGGTGGTTCGCCTCAGCTTGTATCAGCAAGGTACGGTGACTTCCATCCCTTGAAGTCTCTTCTTGCTCGGCAACGCCTTAAGGCTGGTTACCCTTCTATTGCTTGATTCGTTAGCAGTATTGTTAAATACGTTCAAACAGGCAGGGCTTTCCTTCCATCCAAACAAACCTTTCGACAATTCCTAATAGTTTCGCTAAGAATGAAAGAAATTACATTATTTCAAAAAGTATTTTTTATAAATAAAAAGTGTACTCAAGCAATCATGTTTATCACAATACATCCAAGATAAAACAGCAACCAATTGTTGTTGCCAATAAACTTAATTAATATGGGCATAAAACCTATTTTTTTATTTATTGGGTACAACAATCTGTCTCTTGGACATTGTTTATAGTAAGGTAGGATAACATTCATACTATATGTACAAAAAATATAAAATAAATAGAAGCAAAATAATAATCAAAAGTGAGAGCTTATTAAACTAGGAAGTTTTTCTAGAAATGGAGTATCGGCAGTCTAGTTGGATGATGAGAAAAAAAATCATAAATAATTTATGATTATTTTAAAAACAGGACTTAGCTTAATTTAGCCGCTGAAAAGTTCTCTTTAAGTGGTTAATGATGACAAATTCTATTTGAAGTACAATTAGTTAAATATTGCTTAAGTTATAGCTTTCTATTCAACAAAAAGACACGACTAATCTAAATATACACAAAATTTAGATTTCCTACTTTGCTTCTGAAAATTGGGCCATTATTTATATGAACTTATTTGTAGCTCTTGAGGTCTGCTACCACTCCAATAAGTTTTCTTAGCTTAAAGGGACACCCTGTGTATTTAAAAATATGTTTGCCCCTAAGATTAATACATGGATCACAGTATTTAACATGAAGCTAATAAACAATTTAAAATAAAAAACGTTAATTTAAAAATTTAAGAATTATTGTCTTATATTGATATACATAAAATAAATAGGATGTTTTTTCAACCATTATGTACATAATAAATTTTACATTAAGCGAATAAGCCGACAGTAACTTCACATAAGCTTTCTAGAAAGCTCATTGTGTATTCCTTTAATATCCAAAGTTACAAATGGCCTCGCCGTCGAGAAGAAAGGAACCCTTCAAGAAGACGAAGAAACAGTAAATCACTTAATTCCTTTAATTAACAGGATTCAAAACCAAGTTTTAATTTAACTACCTGGTAATAAAACGAAAAAGTGGTAAAAGCAATAATAAATAAATAATTTTAATTAGATCTTAACTAAAAAAAACTTTACGGATATTAATAATAAATTATAACAATTATGTGAATAAAAATGTATTAATATTGCTAACGAATAATAAATATTGGATAAGAATAAATCTTTATTCGAATAGTGGTTAAGTCCACTCTACATGACTGCCAATAATAACTGGAAATTAACATTATTCTGAAAGTCTTTTATATTCCGTATGAGCCACGCTATTAAGCGCACAATCTCAAGAATAATTTCAATAATTATTATTGTTTATATTCCTCACAGTCTATAAAATATTAAAATATTATAAAATAGCAACATATTTTTGTTATTTTAATTGCTCTTAATCGGAAATAGAAAATATAATTGAGCTTGAGGTAATGATTTTAAACTTGAATCCATGAATTCAAGAACTTCTTCCTATTCTATTTGAACTATTAGATATACATACATATAGACATATAGATATACATAAAAATACACAGAATGCGATCTGTTTCAGCGATACAATCTGGGGACCTTGTTTTATCAAAAACCATTCCATTATCGCAACCATACAGAGCGCGATATTCGGCAGCAATACATATAAACAGCTGGCCGGTCGCCTAATCATATTGCCATAAATTTAAGAAGAGATTTCATAAGGAGATTTTGTTTTCAAAAGAATGTTTATTGGTTTCCTAAGCCCATAAATGGAGATAGCCCCTATTTCTATTCAAGACAACCAGAAATATGTAGATTAACGATAAAAACTGATAATGACAATTTTAAATAATGATTTAACATTTTTTACCATATGTCTGTAATGCTGGTACTGGTACTGGTACTGAGTGGGGGGAACTAGTCCGGTATGTGGTCCTACAGTGGTCCTATTTGCCAACCCTTGCCAGACTGGAATGTCACGATTCAGTTCCCGGGGCCGCCGAGAAATGAAAAGTAACGACCCAGGTGGGAATCGAACCCACAATGTTCAGAACCGGTCACTCTGGGACCCACGCCCCAACATGCTCGGTCATCGCGTCTATAATGCTAGAAATCAGGCCTGTTTCCAATATCCATCCAAACGACTTCCTGTCAGTCATCCGTTCTGGTTTTGAATTGATTCTACAATTCTCTATTTTTTTTTTACAATTAACCCGTTAATAATTGAAATGGAGCTATAATGGAAAATATTGAAAAGGCTCAGGTATTAAATTCTCATTTTTATCACTACCTGGACATATTAAAGTAAATATATAAAATAAAGTAAAAATGAGTAAATTAATATTAACAATTAGTAACAAAGTAATAATGGATAATTATTACAAACTCATTAGACAAAAAAAGTAAATTAAAGGTGAACACAAAAATTAATAAATTGTGGATTGATGGTTGACTGTGGTGAACAATTGAAAAGAAGAATGGTTGAGCTGATCAGTAAAAAAAAACATCATCTAAAACTAGTATATACATAAAATATATACAATATTTATATTTGCCCAATACATTCCAAGGCAGGATTTTTCTTGTTCCCTCCCATTTTGCGCTTCAATCTCAGCTACGTCATTGGATTAGAAGCCAGTGGAAACTAAGAGAGAGCACTAGATCAACAAACTCCCAGGACACAGAGTGGCCACTGACATATTTACAAAATGTCTTGAGGCCACTGCTGTTTTAAACTCCGGGGATTATTACATAGATGGTCGATGCTGAATAGGTGATGAGCTAATGGATTAGGATGATGAATAAGATTTTGGAGAAAGTTTGTAAATCGTAAAGGGGTGATGTTAAGGACATATGGGATGTTAAGGCTGTGGTGTAAGGTTTTGTTTGGGACATGGTATGGAGCTTTAACTATTGTTTGAAGTACTTTGAAGTGATAATATTGAATACGTTTGATCTTCGAAACTTTATCCGTCCTACGCAGTTCATTTCCGAAGGTGCAGATAGTTTCAGCATGGTCCTGTAGATTAGTAATTTGTTTTCAATTAAATAATTCAATGTTCTGTTGGAACTGGACAAATCGTCGGCCAAGCTCTTTTATTATAAGTTTTGTATGTGAGTTCCATGTCAGTCTTTTAAGCTAGTGATAAAAAGTGGCCAAGTGCCCGTAATACTCGATCGCAAAGATGTAATATCTTGGATAAACGAAGGAAATAAATGGCGGAAGTAGCAATATGAATTGTTTAAAGTGAAGGACAATAAACTATGAATGATGCAGCAATATGTGAAATATCTCAAGGGAAATTTAAAGTTGACATGGTGAAGAGAGGGGGTTCATACTAATCTCAGGACAGACCATACTGTATTCATCCAGAGTATAATATGAAAAAAAGAAATTACCGACATCTCCCGAGTGTGGGGGTAAATCAACCACATTTCACGGCTCAATGTGCAAGAGGTTCATGAACTCTGAATGAGATGGGCAAATTTGGAATCAATGATTACATGATTACAACTGAAAATAAAAATTAATTACCACAGCAATTTTATACCTGAAACACAAGTAACGCTATAGATCTAGCGAAAATGTGACCAGATTACAATCGTATATTTGAAAAGCTGATTACGATTGTAATCGTGTAAACAAAACAACAAGGAAATAGAACAAAGAATCGTGTATTCAAAAGCACTGTAATCGTAACCACGTAATCAAAATTACTGTAATCGTAGTCATGGATTATGATTTTGCCCATCTATGCCACACGGGATTTACACTCATACAAAGCGCATTTTGAGGTATGACTCAAAAAATATATAATGAAATTTGTAAGAACTATACACATCAATAATAGTAATATAGAAATTGGCTTGAAACAATATCAATGACTAAAAAAAGACGAAACACCTAAATAAATTTATCTTGATGGACAGGGAATTGGATTATTTTCAATAAATAATAATCAATACCGTAAGATGGCATAACTTTAGGACTGGGTTGGTATATTTGGGACAGCGGGTAAAATTTAGTTTGTTGTAATTCCATAGTGGGTACACTGGGTTGATTCAGTCTGCAAAAATATGCTTTGTGTAGGCATCTACTGAGCTACTTCCTTTGCGCGGCAGTTTGAGAATCCTAGTTCACTACACTAGTTGTGCAGTTAGGTTTTATTTATTTCTATTGCTTGTTTCAAAAATCATTACATACGCGGCCCATTCTAACTGAGCCATCACAGTGTATCCATCACAAACTAAATTTTACAAGCTGTCTCAAAGTTACCCCATCTTACAGTAATTATTTATTTGTATCTGTGCTATATGATAATAAAACTACATGAGCAGTAATTGAAGGATCAACATTAAAGAATAGAAAATTAGATAGAAAATTATAATCAATTATAATTGGTAATTGGTTGACTGTCGTGGATAATGAAGAGAAGAATATTTGGGGTGCTCAGTCAAAAAGGAAGGCAACAAATAAATTATAATATTTATTTTTTACATATGCCGACGTTTCGACCTGAAGTTCAGGCCTTCATCAGGGCTTTCTCCTTAAGTGTCAAGGGGATAAGGAAATACAAAATGCAAAAAAAGTGGATATCTGATATTAATATTTAAATACATGTAATCGTTGTAGCAAGAAATTTCTTGAAATTAGGCAGTCGGTATGAAACTTCGTAGATAAAAGAATGCTCTGCAGTTCATAGGTTATTATAATTTTAGAAATTTACCAAATGCCATAAACACAGAACTTTCGAAAAAAAAAAAAGCTAATAAAATTTCAATCAAGTAAAGTGGTAACTTTAATGGCAACTGCGATGAGATAAAGGACCAGTTAAATAAAATAATGGTAAAATAAATATTGCATAATAATAAAATAATGTCACCAAGCAACCATTTCGTCATTTCGTCCGTCTTCAACTAAAACCACTTTATTAGTGAATCAAGGTTACTACAGTTTAAGATTAAAATAAAGCACGTCTTTAAGACATAGTATTGAAAAGAAAGTAGGTCTAATTTATAGGAGAATATTAATAAATTGTTTTTCAAGATTATTTAGACTTAATCTTTAACCGACATCTCAGAACATCTTAGGTGGAAGTAACTCAGAGGTGGGTCCAAGAATCAATGTTGGAAGGGAGGTGACACAAGGTCTGGAGGTGGAGATAACACTTGGATATTAAAACTGTGTTTTTAAATTATTTGGGAAAGTGAGATATTGCACGAACGTATTTTGTTCCGATATGTACAAAAAATGAAGTGCACCTATGAAAAAAAAAAAAAAATTCGTCTTCGGAGACAGCATGGAAGCTACCTACCGGGGTCTTTTAGCGATGCAACGTTGACTAACGTTAAAGTAGTGGAATCAGAAAAACATTAATTTATCATTTTTCCATTTAAATAAATGAGGATTTTTTTATATATAAGAAAATGTAAACAAGATTATGCTTTAAAGCGATTTATTAAATTTTAATGAAATACATTATGACTTTAAACACATCGCTATTAATAGTTTTATGAGTTGAAAAAAATGAAGGACAAAAAATTGATCATGCCACAATAAAATACATCTGGTGAGTTTCGCGCATAAATTAAGCAGAACGATATTGGGAATTCTAAGCGATAATGGGAAGAGGGGGCATTAAGGGCGCAGTTTTACTTTTACGATCCTGCTAAATGTTCCATTCATGTACGTGATCTTCGACAGATATCCAGGGATTTGCATGGAGGAATACTAGGTACTAGATAAGCAGTCCTGATTTCAAACATATTCTACTATCGATCTGCCTGATTAAGGCTTTTACAGAAAAATAAACAATAAACTTTTGTAAGCCAGTGTTCAGAAATAGCTATCTATAAAAAGAAAAGTCTCTGGGAACGAGAAGGTGAGAACAGCAGTTCTTCATCTAAAAAGAAAAAAAAAAAGAAAAAAGAACTTGGGTGAGAATGATGCAAATACTTCGAGAGAAACCGTTAGAAAAAAGGGAATTAATAAAGCTAAAACAGGCCTCTCATGTATCATAAATAAAAATATAAATAAAACCAAGCTGAGCAAATACTTGGAAAGATAAAGTGCATATAAAAAAGCAATATAAGCAATATGAATGTGGTATATTAGGCAGTTCTCGCAAACGTTTACCTTTTTTTATATTGATTTATATATATGAAAAAATTATGAGACAAATATATGTTTTGTTGAATTTAATTATAATAGAAAAAACACAGGCGGTGTTAGGGAATCAATCAAAGGTTATATTTATTTTATAAATATTTAATAGTTTCACATATTGCTGAAATATGCATATGTGATTAATTGTTATTAGTGTTGTTATAAAAAGTCTAAAAGTCAAACAAAAGGTCCAAAATCTCTGTGTAAAGTTTGTAGTGAAATAAAAATGAGTTTATTTCAAATACAGAGTACTCAACTTTATTCTATTTCGAAGCTAGGGATCAGATATAACAGTTAGTTATATATTTACCTTAACCCGAACAGGCGCATTTTTTATTTTATTTCATTGGTAACTACAATACAATACTGTGTAGGATCAGTAGAACAATGAATTACCAAACTCATTACCAAGAGAATAAATATTATAACCTACGTTGTCCAATGCCTGAAATAACATAGGAAATTGTATTATAATTGAGACCAGATTTATACATATTTGTTTAAAGAATACATTTTTTAAAGAGTATATATATTTATAACGTAGTTCTTAATGCTTATAGCGAATTTATATACTTTCTGAATCACCATTCTTAGGAAGTTTATCGTCCGTTTCACACAATTTAAAAGCCACTAAAGTATACTTAAATCGTTTTAACATTAAGTGAAAACCATGAACGGCATTAAATAATATTTTATTCCAATGTTCATAAATAATTCATCTTGAGATACTATACACTAGAAGGATTCAATCCGTATATCGGCAATTCCAGCTGAAGGAAATTGGCGTGGAAGGATCGTTGCTATTTTGATCCTTGGCGGCTCCTCAACTGGATAAGCTGATTAGCGCAAAATTGGTCTCATCGCCGCTTTCATTTCTTTAAAGCTCTAACCGGGTTTAGTTCTCGGATTATTTTTTAATTGTGTTTCCAAACTAAAATGAGATATTAGGAGATTAAAAAGAATTTTCATCAGAGTCCTTTCTTAAAACAAATTAAATTGAATAATAGTTGCCTAATTTGTCGTATATCAGGCAAACGGTACGGTTTACAGATTTTTATATAAATGCAATGTAGATGTATACATAGACGCATGAATAGATGTATTCAACAACTTATATATAAAATAACAAATATGTACATTAATGTTTTAATTGTGTTCTGTAAGAGATGTCAGGAGATAAAAATAAATTATCATTACAGTATTTTTTTAAACAGATGAAAGTGAAATATAGTTTCCTGTCTATATATAAAAACTCTAGTACTAATTTAAAGAAGTTTATATAAAGCTGATATAGGTACACAAATTATGCATATTACAAATAATATAATGTGTAATATTTTTAAAGTTGTGCAAGGCAAACGGTTGATGGAAGAAGGCACTATCTGGAGTGGCCACTTAGTAAAAATGAAAGAAGATTACTATGTAATTTAAAGTGACTTAGTAGTGGATAGGAAGCGAGATAGCTCAGTGGTAGGGCACTAGCTTCCAATGCTCGAGGTCCCTGGTTCGAATTCCGGCTCATGTTTCATTGGCCGTGGGACGACCCTGGGGTAGGGAGACCCTCCTGGGGCACACTCAGCCTCTACAAAATCGGTACCCTCAGTTAAATAATTGATTAAGGAGTAAAACCTGAAGGTTGAGCGCGATCCTGGCCCGATCTCCTCCCAGAACAACCGTTAGCCTTGTTACAGTACTTTCCCTAAATGGGTTGTAGTAGTACAGGTTTTGTTTTCAATAGTGGATTGATGGCTGACTGTATTGAATAATTGAAGAGAAATTAGTTGGGGTTTTCAGTCAAATTACAAAAGTTTTTTTTTTTTTTTTTTTTAAATTTCTTTATTGAGTATTATAACAATCTGTCTGTTCGACATTGGTTATAGTGAGGTAGGATGACATTCACACCATATGTACAAAAAAATAAAATAAATAGAACAAAATAATAATCAAAAGTATATACAATAGACAATAAAATAAAATAACCTAAAAAATAAGAAAATTAAAACTAAGGAAAAAAAAAAATAAAAATAACATGCATACCTATATACAATCAGGCGAGGGAACTCCAGGAGAACCCTGCGCTACTCTTCCAACCGCGTCACTGGTACTAAAGCCAGCGGAGATTGGTCGAGAGCACTTTAGCCACATACACACATATCTTGAGTGAAGAATCTGGCCATTGCCAGAACTCCAATTTATATAATTTACAAAAGGTCGCGAGGCCACTGCCGTTTCAACCTTCTTGGAGGATTATAGGGATGGGAGATGCTTG